TTTGATCCGGTTTTTTTAATTAAGAGATTTTTTTATATGCAACGTTCACAGATTTCTTGTAGTGTATTTAGTATCAGCATTGCACCCGAGCGAAGCCGGGCGGGTCGCTATAGTATTAACATTGATAGACTTCAATTCGAGATTTCAAATTCTTATCTTCAGCGACCGTCGTCTTTGTTTACATTTTTACGATCATGTGTTTTACCTTGAAAATGTTATTGACTGCACATTGTTTTCATGAAAATATAGTAATGCGCACGATTTATCACACATATGTTAAGAAATATGGCCTTATGCAAAATCATTGATTGCGCTAAAAATAAGCGTGTTGCACACTAAAGAAAATTTATTGAGAAAAACATAAACAAGATGGTGTAGAAAGTTCGTATTTTTATTTTATTGTTTTGTAAAGACCGTATATCCTTCATGTAACATAACGTAAATAGGTATAACTAATATGAGGCATTTAAATAAAACACTTTAACCGTTTAAAACGCGATATATTAGTTAAACTTATTTGAAAATGATTTTTAACTTCGGCCCGACGTTTCGGACCTCTCTCCCCGTGACCACGGCTGCTGCAAAGCATCCGAACCGTTTAACTAATATATCGCGTTTAAAACCGTTAAAGTGTTTTATTTAAACGTGTACTACTCGCGTAAACTATAGACAGTATTTAATATAAGGCACTGAAGTAATCTATAATCGTGGGGCGAACACAATTCTGTGACCGTTTCAACGATTCATTTAACTAACGGGAAAATAGTTGCTAATTGTTGTCTCTAGGTTTAAAACCCCTGCTTAGCTCAGTGGAGCTACTGCGCCCGTTGTATTATATATTATATGAGTTTTATCCAGTGTATTCCAGATTACGGTAGCTATTTTAATAAGTTCATCATATTTAGTTTATGGTTTAAGAAACAGGTACATTTAGTTACTTATTTAGCCTTTTCCATAACACAATAAATAATGTTTATGGAAACTTATTCATATTTAAACTGAATAAAATAAATAAATTACAAATTACTTGACGCAATAAGAGCCATCGAACTACAATGTATAATGTAAAATTATTATAATTGTGTAACGTTTATTTTGAACTGAAATTAATTATAATAATTAGGGCAGGGAGTTCATTGTATTATCGATACACGTGCATTTTTTTACTAACATTAATAAAATAATTATTTATTCATATTTTTGTAATTATGCTTAAATTCTTGCGTCTTAAATGTGAAGGAAATAAATCAGTTTATTAGTAAATTTTAAGTAATAATTTGACCAAAATGTATAATTTTTGTACTCATCAAGCTAATTTTATTAAAATTACGACTTAACCTTATTTTAAATTAACGCACAAATTTTCAAATTATAGAGCAGATATGTTAAGATTCTGTCTTCACATTAAATATTCCGTTGTTTAAAATTATTTAATATTACCTTGAGGAAATTCTTCAAATTTATGCCTTGACAAATAATTCATGATCATTTTATTTAAAATTTTGTAAGTAGAAAGGGGGAGAAAAAACGTTTTGTTCTAAGATATTATATGTAAGAAGCATTTGTGATGTATTCTTTACGATCACACGTGTTCTGAAACTGTATTCAAACTGAACCATATATTGTACGATTCACTCAAGTATTTATCAAACCCCTAACAATGCCTTATTAAGACCCATTCGCGGGGAAAGTTCTATTCAAGTAATGAGAGAGCACTACAAGTAATCTGCGAGCTCCATTTTGCGGTCATTCAGCTAGGGCCTGTGTATTTACAAGCTTCTATTTTAATAACTATTTCATAGGGTTGCAAGAATTGGCGGGAAACAACGCCATGTTTGACTTCTTTTGACGTTTATATTTTTTGACAGCTGAATGTGACAGTTTGACTTTTTGCGATAAGACAACACCATTTTGAGGCAAACGAATAAAATATTTACTAAATAGATAATGAATAAAAAAAATAAAAATAAGATTGCAACAAATTCTAAAAAAATTATTTGTTGTCCCCGTGTTGTTAAGTCCAGATCTTCAAAATATGTATTACTTCTATTTAGGTATATACATTTTACCGAGAAATAATAATCGATTTTTTAAGTTACTGATGCTTGTAATTTTGTTTATATTTAATTTTTTTTATTGTGTGTGTTGTAGTCACTGAAAAACTATTTTATATCTAATTACGGACTAGCTAAAACATATTTTACAAAAATTCACGGAAATAAGGCAACAGACACACTGATATGAAACTTCGAATGAATTAGTGTAATCAATTTATTTTTCTTCTTTTTAGAATCATGCGCCGGTGTTTCATGCGGTTCTGGTCGACGATGCGTAGTAAGAGGTGGTCGCGCGAGATGCGTTTGCGCAGCGACGTGCCGCCGCGCCGGACCGGTATGTGGGAGCGATGGGAAGACTTATCGCTCCCTTTGTCGACTGCGGCGAAGAGCGTGTAGAAGGCCAGCCAAGCACTTGACTCTGGACTACCCGGGACCGTGTAGAGGTATGGAATATATGAAGCTAATAATATATATAAACGAATTTCGGAATTCAGACACTATATAAAATTATATGGATTGATTTAAATTTGTCTCCTTAATCGACTATGTATTGGTTTTTAAAACCATTATTTTATAACTTTTAGTTCATTCACTAACATAACACTTAGCTTATTAAAATTATATTCTTGGTTATTTTTAACAATGTATTCGATGGTATTATGACCTGGATTATCGGTCATGAGCAATGCTTATGCCGAATACCTTTTACCTGCTATCTTAATGTCCAATAAATTTAACCGAACGCAATAAACGTGATAATTTTAAGAACAAAATTGACTGGCTGGTTGATCTAATGGTATCGAAGTACGACTAATAGTAACCGACGGATTGTGGATTCGATTTCTACAACGATAACTAACAAATTGTCAATAAAATCAAAACAAATTTGAAAGTCTTTGAAAGATCTTTGCCTATCGGGCTCGTTCAATTCCCACTGGGACCAACATTTTCTAATAATAAACATGTTGGAGTTTGTGGAAATCTGGTTGTTAAATGGGTGAAACAAACATTGACAGGTGAAAAGCTGTGAAGTTCATCGCGTTTCGATTCGAGTCTGCGGATTTCCGAATATCCAAAGCCGATATAGTTCGACAGCACATCTTTACATAGGTTAACCCAGTGCTTGTCTGTCATTCACTATCATAAACAAAATCTAGAAAATCTGATTTGTAAATATTATAGGTGATAGGAATATTGAAATCAGGTCACCGACCACTGTATATACAGATGCGATCGCGTTGTTGGCGCTTTTTATTGTTTAAATCAGATTCAAAAACCATTTATTCACGTTGGTAACATGAAAGTCAATGCAGTTAAAAATTATAAATCTCTAAATTTATATTTACTACCACTATCCAAATCAAGAGCGTAGAATGAACCAGTAGAACTGGCAAGAAGTTGCGTATTATCGTTAAATAATGCTCTCTAAGGCTAGAATATCCCAACAGCGCACCTGAGATAAATTTCGAAGCTCTTATAACACACCTGTATACAATAAACACTTTGTAAAACAATTAGATAAAATTGGACGGGGTCACGGCTGCCCTGCAAAGCTTGAAACGTCGGGCCGGAGTTAACAAAAATTTCAAATAAGTTTAACTAATATATGCGTTTTAAACCGTTAAAGTGTTTTATTTAAATGTGTACTACTCGCGTAAACTATAGACAGTATTTAACATATTATGTTATTTTATATCAATTGTAATTTATAAAAATAGTTCTTCTACGCCCCTGTAACCAAATTGTGAAACGCCTGGCATTGCGTTAAGCACGAGAGGTCTTGCGTTCGAATCCCAGGGAAACAAAAAAATTCGGTCGGGTAAGGCACGGCAATCTGATCACATACTCGCCTGTTAAAGAACGAATCAGTGAAACGGACACAAACATGTGTTCGCCCCATGCCCCACGAGGGGGAAACGGGATTTCACACATTGCATTCGGATTGCCCTGCAGTGGTAGAATAAGGTTATAAATAAATTAATGTTAAAAATATGGACGCGGTATCTTACATCCTGTGAATTGTATGCTGGTCTGTCCACCTCTGGCATAAACAACAGATCAGTTGTATTTTGAGTAATATAAGTTGAGCTAATCTGCTTGGACAATAATCGCCACGAGCCATACGCAATAATAAAATAGTTCTGAGAACTAGACGGTAACTCATACGCTGCCTAGCAACTGCACCTTTCATAATAGTACACAGGCCAGCGACCAACTCACGAGAACAATATTATTAGGGTTAGAGCGAAACTTTGACTTCGGCAAAAAACTTTCGATTTCAACATCGCTATCTCGTTATTCTAAAAAAAAAACAGATGACGAGCTCATTGGTGTAATAGCAATGTGTGTCTTATAATAAAATAGTTCCAACATTTTTCTAATCAATTTATAGTTTTCCTAAAACTTGCTGGACTTCATCTGGATATTATATGGGTGGTAGGAATATCGACCGCCTATGTAGCTAATTGGTTAAACGTGTTGCCTAGCAGTGTGTAAAGCGCGAGAGGTCCTGCGTTCGAATCCCGGGGAAACAATAGATCGTATCGGTCGGGCAGGGCACAGAAGTCTGATCAACTACTTGCCTGTTAATAAAACTCGATCAGTGAAACGGACACAGAAATGTGTTCGCCCCATGCTACGAGGGGAGTCGGGATTTCACATAACATATATAAAAAATCGAAAATCCGTCCTGGCCACAAACCACCGTGCACTGAAAAGCCGTTAAGGTAAATCGCTTTTCGGTTCACTGTGTCCGAATCCAAAGCCAAAATAGATCGACAACCCATCTGGTTTAGAAGTTATTTGGCGTGGGTATATCACCTACTATCAAGTAAGCTTGGATGGACAGACTCCTCTATCAGTATTTCACATCTATTGTAATGTAATTAAATCGGATCTCACTGAGTGGCAAATGAGCTATGATCGTCATTTATAAACAATTGCCGCCTTCAAGACGAAATTAATTTAAATTACATTTAATTGGAAATCGATTAAAATTTTACTCCATTTCTTCTTTAAAATGATCTATCATGATTCTTTTAAATGATGATGATGATGGCGTTCTTATAAAGCACAATATATTGATTCATCTAGAAATCAGACGATTGAACGCTTGTAGGTTTACGCAAAAAACTAAAATTTTGTCTAACATATGAATGCCAATGTCAATGTCCCCGTCACAAAGCCCAAACACATTTAAATAAAACAATTTAAACGGTTCAAAAAACGGAATGTATTAGTTAAACTTATTTACAATTAGTTGTAACTACGAGATGCTTTGCTTCTCACCTTTACGACGTTTCAGACGAGACGAAATGCCGCACTGCATCACTGCATCGCTCATTAACCTCGTTTTCGTCCCATTTAAAATTGTCCCGCAAACCTTGATATTATGCGTCCGCGTCGCGTCGGTACTTTAATGATACAAAAAGGTGATCAGGCGCTCCGATCGAGCACTTTTATTTCTCGAAACCTGTTAAAGATCTCCAAGATGACTGTGCTGTCAAAACGTGAATGCTAATGTCCAATTCTCGCGAATCATTGCGAGGGCTGCAAAACTTAGCGTACCTACGTGCTGCGCGCGCGCAACTGCATCTCGATCGCTTCAATATGCTTTTTTGCGTCTCAAATTATATAGTTGGTATCAGACTTTTGTATAAGACGCTTTTAATGGTAGCTATTAATCAAACATCGGGTTGAAACGCTCTATCAATGGCGCGCGCGCCTATAATTACGGTCTGTCTTCTAGGGGGGAAAAGCGGGTTTGTTATTCACTCCCGCCTCGATGCAGTGCATTAATCCCTGTCCCATGCTGACCGGACACTCCCATGCTATCGCACTAGTAAATTGCTCGTTCCAAGAAGGTCTACGTCTCTATCGGAAGTCAATAATAGTTCTTGCTCGGACGGAACATCGCTTTAGGTGTATGAATGAAATCTCCGAGACATTAACCGCGCTTAATGCACACTTGCATAGATTTTAAAATCTCGTTTATTTAATGACTGTAAGTTTTTTTGTATATGAGGAAGGTATACCAGCCATATAACAATTAAAGAACTGAGCTGTCTGATGCTTTGGAAAATCGGAAATTAGTCTGAAATCAAAACGCCATTTAACGTCTCGCCTTTTTACCTATGAACAACGGTGGTTCGTGACCCGGACGGAATATAGATATTCCTATAACTCACTTATTGTCCAGATTTCCATAGAACCGATTAGACCAACCAGATTGATTCCTTCGGTTGTTGTTTGTTGTTCGAAATAACACATAGTGTCTTATTTTACACCTGTGCAGTTTTTGTGTCTTATTTTTAACCGTAAATCAGTGGTTACTTTATAAATCCGAAATCTATAATTATCTGTAGAATCAAGGATTTCGGATTTATATTATATATTTTGGTCAGGGCATAAACATCTAACCTGTTCACCAATCAGTGAAAGTTATATTCCCGTAAAAACATCGCTCAGTAAAACTGGCACAGATAATTAAGTTTATCCTATATCAAAAAAAAATCGTTTTGCGTGAAATTTGCGTGTTTGTGTTTCATTTATGTTAGGCCTAATTGGACCTAAGAAGTCATTGAAAATGTATAGACGGAAATACAACGGCTATGCCTTATAACCAATGTGTGCCTCGGCTTCGGCAACACGTTTTTATCGATAAGTAAGGCTTACGCCTAACTCTGAAAATTCACGAAGAGTGAGACACAGCTGATTGCTGAATTAAATGCTACACCTATCACGAAGCTATATTTGACATTCTGTAAAAGGTTCTTATTAAAATCTTTCAAACTACAATCATCTTAAAAACTATAGGCCATCTGTTGTATTAATATAAGAACCAAATGGCTAAAGATGCCAGTGCCCAGTGTAAAGTACAGAATCGGGCAACATATTTTAGCGATCGTAAAATCGGAGCGAAGCTGAACGGTTTGTTACAGAAGCAACAGTCATTCATTGTAACGGCGAACAGGATTTCTGGTTTTGTGCAATAGGAAAATTCATATACATAGCTATTTTACCGGGATCTTACGTCTAGAGGTAGCTATTTGTGGTAAAAATGATTCTCTGCTTTCCTAAACATGTTCGCAGGTCCGTCTAGAATATTGTAATTGTATGAGACTGGAACTACCGTCATCGTAAATAGACAATAATATAATTTAATACAATCATAAACTACCAGGTATATATTGCGTTTGGTCAGCCTTAGGATTTCTGAATATACAAAGCTAAAAAAGGCTCGACAGCGCATCTAGAGTAGATGTTACATGGCCGGGGTATTTCACAACCTCATCGTCCTCCTCTATCATAAAAAAAACGAACAGGTGATTTCATTTTTAATAAATTATGCCATATCGTATAATATACTTTTAATCTCCATTTACAAATAAATATGCCTGTTAAAATTTAAATTTATTCAAGTCATTATGCCTAATGCCTATCA